CCCCGCAATGTGGGAAAACAATGCTAATGGGCAATTAGACACTTCTGTCCGATTGTCAAATTTCAGAGAACTCCTTAGTTTAATAAACATGAATCAGGGGGACCAAAGTGAATATGGTTTTTCGAGGACAGTTGGTACGATTCATTTACCACGCCTAGGAGAGAAGAAGATATTTCGGATGAAATCGGAATCAATCGGAACCTTTCAAATTTTTATTTTGCGAGAAACAAAATTTGATGGTAGTGTGCTGGTGGTAGTCTTTTTCAAATTTGTTATTGACAATTGAAAAAAAAACTTTCATTAAAGATTTTTAAAAATATTTCGACCAATTTCGATATACGAAGTTAAATATTTACATCAATTTTCGACATTTAGAAGATTGCAGACGAACTGTAACAAGTAAGCAAATAATATACATTATACATATATACAAGGTACACTGGTACACAAGGTACACACATAAAATTTTCTATATAGTTGTATAAATAATATATTAAAACATAAAACAGAAGTTGTCAACGAGGGAGATAAGCTGCAACAACAAATATTATTATATGCAAGAAAGCATAAATAAACTCGTTAAATAGTGGAAATCAGAGGCAAATACAGGGCTGCCATATTCTTTAAAAACCATACTGCAGCTAATTCATTTCTCACCTCAACCTTCTGCAGTGAAGCTAAAATAAAAACTTTCATTCCGGCACACATCATCTCCTGTAAAGGCATCATAAGAAACATCGACAATTGCATGACTGAGTCAAGGAACAGTCAAGGAACACCTCGTGTGCGACGACAGCATGGAGGTCATCCGCGTCGAAAGAGACAATCCACTAACCAGTAAGGAGAACCAATTTACGTTCCAACCATTTCCTCATTTAAAAATAGTTTTAAATCTCCTATAATAGAGCCACAAAAATCTGTCTCGCAATTTGTACCTCTAATATTGGAAATTATAACGTTATTCAATATTAACGTTGAAAACCTACTTATAAATAAGGTACATGAAGGCCTGGTGTTTGGACCTCCTATCTGCCTCACTTGCCCAAAGAAATTTTCCAGAGGATCCTGGTTTAAAGATTTAGTTGGCAAATATCTACAATTCATTTTTTGTTACAATATAAAATGTAGGTTAATGAAACCATCAAATGTTGTTTCAAGACTGGTGGCTGTTTATTTCGTTCATTAATAAATTTCATACGTTTTACAATCTATTTGACCTCATACCATAATTGTAAATGGCCTGATCCCATTTCAACACACTTTACATCAACCTGGTTAACTTGTACTATGCCAAAATTTAAACTATCAAATAGTTTATTTAAATAATTGCATAGTACAGCTGTACTCTTCGATTTTCTCCCATTTGGGCAAGATAGGTTACATTTTATCATTAATTCCATAATTACACCTACTGTATGACTGAACACTTGCACAGCATTCGAGACCTTCATCTTGGGAATCTGTTCAGGTATTACATGTCTAACTGTAATTTTTTTCATGAATCTGCTGCTATTTCTTGAACAATCAATGAAATAAGTAGTTTTAACATCTTCCCAACTCGCTATGAAGTCCTCACCATTAAATGAATATTTTAAATTTTTAGTTAAAAAATTGTTCGTCATACATTTAATAATATGACAAACATCGTATAGAGGAACAATTTCTAATTTGTCAATTCTTATTATATTTGCCTTAGGTTCTTTATTTTCTTGTATATATATTTGTGTTGAATTTTGTAGGAGCATATTAATTGCAGCTTAATTTGTAGGACCTTGATCACATACAAGTGCTGCAACTATATATCCTTGCCAACCTTGTTACAATATCTTTGATGAAACGTACTATGGCTGCGGATTTAGTTGTGCCTTGAAGAAAACTATAACTTACAGGAAAATTTCACTTCCTGTAAATACTCCTCACCATAAACACTTGAACATGATCCGCGATTCTATCTGACCTTTCATAACCATCATCTTCAAATCCTATAACTGTACCTCTTTTAGTCTGATAGTCCAAATGAGAAGTGATTGCCATTTCATCAAAAATTAATGTAACAAATCTATCTTCAATTTCATTGTTTTCAGAAATGTGCTGTTTCAGTGTATTTAAGATATTATCATTTAAACTAGGATCGATTCTAATTTTACTATCAAATCTCGTAAGTGTTGATTCTGATGGTAATTTAAAATAATTTGACAAGAATTTATAACATTTCTTACTCTGTTTAAATATACTGAACGCAAATAATTTATCTTTGTAAGTATATGATTCTCCCTTTTTTTTGCCAAAATTAGATATTTGGAATCTTATAAAATTTTGAACATTAATGTCCAATTTTTTAAATATTTCAAATGCTTTACATTCTACTTTTAATTTTTTATTTTCATTTCTTAAATAACGAATTTTTCTTTGCAATTTCCTTCTTAAACTAGAATTTATTTCATTATTATTTTTTAAATTACCATCATCAACACTTACTCTTCCTATTGTATCCCTGTTGAAGTCATCTGAAGTAATATGACTGTTATCAATAGCTGTATCACTGTCGACAACAATCTCTTCAGATACAACATGTATCACTCTATCACTATCAACAATTATAATTTCTTTGGGCTCAACTTCTGTTTTACAATACAAGTGATCTAAATTAAGAAAATTATCACCAATAATGCTGTTACTATCATCAACAATATCAATTTGTTCAATCTCTACTACTTCCAAAATATTTTCCGTCAACATCGGAAAATCGTACCGATAAAAAATAGGTTTTCTTTTATACTTTTCAGTGAAATGAAGATTGCAATCCATGCTTGTTTTCCTTATAACATGATTATCTATATTTTTCAATGAATCATTCCTCGTAGCAATTTTCCATTGTTCGAACAATGGAGAATCAACCGGAGGAAATTTTCTCATTGGAATACCATAGCCGCTTTTAATATCACATCCTTGGACGCAACAATGAAAAACCATACTAATATACAACATACATTTATTGAATTGTACTTAGACACACATAAATATAAAGAATTATTGTGGAAATGTTATTAACTTGCTTGTGTTTACTTGTGTTCTCCATAATGGTGAAATTGAAATGGTCGAAATGAGACAATAGAAAAATTTTGAAAGTTTTATTATCGCAAAGTAAACATTTGAAACGGTTACAATGGTTCCGATTGGTACCGAATTCAACCGATTTCGTACGAAAAATCTTCTTCCTTGTAAAAGTCTCATACCAACTGATTTATCGTAAAAAAAGATTACAATTTTGCCGTATCCCGTGAACCCCCCTGGTTCCAACAGGCTCGCTTATCATAACATTTAGAGGTCGCCAGATACCTAATTCAGTCACCCTATTTTTCAATCATAGACACGTTGATCCATACATCCCCAGAGTCATAGAATGCTTCGGCTGCCTCAGATACGGCAATACAAAAAAAATCTGCAAAAGCAAAGTTATATGTTGTCCCGCTTGCTCCGGACACCACTCATTGGAATCTTGCATAAACAAAAACTGTCCAACCTGCGAGTACTGCGGTGGAGACCACCTGACGAATGAGCAGAATGTCAGACTTAAAGACAGGGAGTGTCCAGAATATAGAAAGCAGCATAGAATAATAGAATTAATTGTTCGGAATAAATGGTCTTTTTACGAAGCGAGAGAGGCTGTAAGCCCGAGAAGACAAAACATCAATATCAGAGATTTTCCAGCTACAAACGAGGATCAAGAGGTTCCACGCATCAACAATCCTTCAGTTTTTACCAAAAGATCGTTTGCATCAGTTACTTCCGCCCCACCCCCTCAAAGTAAAAGAAATTACACCAAATCGGTACCGGCACAAACAATTTACACAAAAAGAAATCTCCGAGGTCGAGACAAAACAATTCTTCCGAAAGAGAAACATCCCCGCCTGTAAATGAACACCCCTCCAACACATCCGTGCAGATTCTGCGGATGAAGCTGTTGACTCGGATGAGGAAGCGATTGCCCTATTAGAATTCCTGCTTCACAGAATCAAAGAAGGTCGCTCTCGGTTTCACAAAAACTCAGTCCCGGAAATTGAATCACTCATAAAGGCCTGCTCATAATATCTGCATACATCCCTCCAAATGTTTACATGAAACGGGATGCCTGGGATCGTCTTCTTGCAAATGCCGAGCGGCCTTTCATCCTGGGGGTGATCTGAACGCTCATCATTCGCACTGAGGTCATGCCACAAACAACACCAACGGCAGGGAGCTGATGGCAGCCATAGATACCCACGGACTAGTCATGCTGAAGGACATGCAACCAACTAGACTTAAACACGGTTCTCCTTCCATTTTGGACCTGCTGCTTGCATCACCTGAAGCGGCGTTTAATCTGACTTCCAACACCAGGCAAGACACCTTCGGTAGCGACCACTACCACATATATGCGAATACAGTCCTCCTCGTCAGCAAAGTCAACAAGTCATTTGTTCCTCACAGCCTTCACCGTCCACAAGGATCAACTCCAAAAGTGTCAAATTCGTACAGTGCTGAATTAGAGCAGGAGTTCAACAACAACCCAGATATGGATCTGAGCACCCTGACATCCGTCGTCGTCGAGGCCGCCAAAGCCAATTCAAAATCCAATCCAGCAACCAGGCAAGTTCCATCTTGCCCCTGGTGGGATGACGAATGTTCAATGGCTGTTGCCAAACGGAGAAGGCTACTTAAAGTCTTTCACAACACCGGGAGAATGACGCATTTAATAGCTGCTAAAAGATCTATAGCTGAAACAAAGAAATTGTTGAAGTCCAAAAAGAGCCTTTTGCGAGACACTGAGCAGGGATTCTTCGATTTCTTACGTTTGGAAGAAAGTTAGGGCATTCAATTACCACAACAGGAAGACAACTCCTCTGAACAGAGATACGATCAAAGATTGGCATGAGGAATTCCTTAGGAAATTAGTTCCCGACTCTGCTCGAGTTCCAAAACACTTTCTCCTGTCCTCCTCTCCAAGTGTTGATGCTGAGATGACCAGGCCATTTGATTTCGGAAAGCTGACTGCTGCTTTGAGTCGTGCCAAGGATTCAGCACCTGGAACTGACCTGGTAACAGCGGCAATGCTGAGGAATCTTCCGAAAGTGGGAAAGCAGAGACTCCTGATGCTGTATAATGAAGTTTTCAACAACTGCTCTTTCCCTTCAGCATGGTATATAATTAAAATAGTGCCTATTTTGAAGAAAGAAGCCGCAACCGATCTGGCTGCCATCTACAGACCGATTGCGCTGATGTCCTCGGTGAAAAAATGCCTGGAGGTAATGCTGAAAACTAGATTGGAGAGGTTCGTCGAGTCTCGTTCCATTCTTCCAACATCTTTCTCGGGATTCAGGAAAGGCCGCGGCACCAACGACAACATCTGTACTCTGCTCGCCAAGATACACAAAACTCTGTCCAGAGTTGACATTAAGTCATTGACATTAAGTCCGCGTTTGATAATGTATCTCCGACCATCTTGAGGAATACTCTGGAAAGCATTGGAATTCCTGCACAATACGTTAACTGTTTGATCCAGCGTTCCAAAGACAAATGCCTTCACATCTCAGGCTCCAACCCCGACTCCGATTCCAGATGTTCGTATATAGGTCTACCACAGGGCAGTCCATTAAGCCCTCTTCTCTTTAACCTTTACATTCATGCCATCAACGACATCCTTCCGGAGGGCGTGGAAATCTTAGCATACGCGGATGACCTGGCCATCTGTTGTGCAGGAGCAGATAGTGACCAGTTGGAGAAAACCATGAACACAGCACTAGACAATATCTCTAATTACCTGGGAGACAGACACATGGAGGCAGTTCCGGCTAAAACGAAAGCCATGATTTTCACAAGGAAACGATCACCAGCACAGCCGCTATTAACAATCAACGGATCGGCCATCGAGATTGTGAATGAGTTTAGGTTTCTGGGCGTGACTTTGGATGACAAGCTTTCTTGGAAGTCTCAAGCCAGACAGTCTCAGTCATGTTTCCATGGTCTTAACATCTTGAAAGTGGTGTCGGGAAGAGACTGGGGCTGCGATCCCATCACAATGCTGACCCTGTTTAAGGCTTTCATACTGTCTAGGCTGCATTACGCCTGCTTTATTTACTCTCATTGTGCTAAATCTACACTCAGAATCCTCGATCGCATTCAGAATCAAGCTCTTCGCATATGCATGGGAGCAATGAGGTCGACGCCCATCAATGTTCTTCATGATGCTTCAGTAATGCCCCTCAGCATTCAACGACGTATGCTTACGAAGCGACTGCTTCTAAGGAACTTGGCCATTGGGGAGACATCCGTCGTCATACCGTCAGTAACTGCCGCTGCTGAGGCTTTTTCCAGCAAGCCTTATTGGAGAAGGAAGGAAGTGCCATTGATAATCAAGTGTATGGTGGAGATAGAGGACTTGAGACCTTCCGTAGACAGCTCTGCATTTGAACGACTGTACATGCATCCTCTAGTTCTGCCACTGCGAGTCTCCTCCCGGAAATTCTCCAAAAAAAGGGATGAATTTGGAAACTCGTACGACAGAATATTTGCCGAGTTCGTGGAGTCTCACTACGATGGATTTCTGAGGATCTATACAGACGGCTCAATACGCAACTCTCCGAAATCCGTCACATACGGAATAGCCATTCCATACATCTGCGAGTGCAGAAGATTGCCATCTTCCTGCTCTATCTTCACAGCGGAATTAAACGCAATCTGCAGAGTAGTGAACATAGCCTCCGTCATACATGGTGCAAGAAATGTCGCAATATTCTCTGATTCTTTGTCCTCTATCAGAAGCATTTTCAGTGAACAAATCAAAATAAAGACCAATCCTTGGGTAGTAGAAGCCATAAACTCCCTGAATAGACTAGCTGCCGGTGGAATTCGGGTGGAACTGTGCTGGGTTCCGAGTCATCAGGGAATCACTGGATATGAGCACGCGAACGATGCCGCAAATGAGGGCCACTCCATCGACGACCCTTTGGAAATCAAGATCCCTCATACAGACTTCTTCTTCGATCACAGGCGGCTCGCTCTGGCCGAGTGGCAAAGGAAGTTTGACAGTGATTGTGCAACAAAAGGGAAGTATAACCATCAGTTGAACAAAGTGATCGGTGTGAAACCTTGGTTCGTGGGTGCGGGCATCTTCAAGAAGTGTCAAGTGTCATCAATTGGCAGGCTCCGTTCTGGACACACCCTCGCTCCAATCTACATTCATAGAGTTGGACTGGCCAACACCGATCTCTGCTCTTGTGGAGAGACAGGAACAGTCAACCACGACCTGTTTGGATGTCCAAACAATGCAGTGTCGTGTCC